TTAAGGGAGATATCCAGGGGCACTTGTTGAAAACACCCATACAGTTGCCACAAGAAAGCAGTAGATGCAAGTCCCAACAAATGATTCTTGAGATTTTTTCTTGCTATCCTTCAGAGGAAAGATGAGGAAAGCATTCTGATCCACCGTGGGTTGTCTCCCCATGACTGGTGAAAGCTGAGGTCTCGAAGAGGAAAACAGCAAGCGCTCAGAAGGCCAACCCCTTTTTGCTTGATTCCACCATTTCCACCATACAACAGAGATCAACAGAGTACCTAAATGGTGGTTACAATTGACAGGAATTTACACAGATGATGTATTGTACACTTTACATTTTGTTCCCATTTAGGTACACAGATGATGCCCTTTTTGAAATCTGAGCGCAGGTTTCAAAGAAACCACGGACGGCCAGCGGGTTCCTGGAGGAGGACCAGTATGTGGGCGCAATCCAAGTCATTTCACTACACCACTGGCTACAATCAATTGGGCGCCTACAAAAAGGCAAATGTCATCACATTTTTAAGGCCAAAATTGAAACCGCTAAAGACATCACCTGGACTCTTTGGAATCAGAGGAGCTGGGCCTTGAATCAGGCGTTCTTAGACTTCCCAAGGTGCCGCAGCAGGGTTGGAATGGTGGCCCAAACATGGAAAATGAATGTTTTTTTTTGATACTCAATTTATTCATATATGTGAATGACTGTGAATGTAGAATGATTTCTGTATGTGTGTACATATATAATATATGCAAATGTGATCGCATGTGTATATATGATTCTGGTTTTTGATGTTGGAGAAGACAACTATTCTGATTCCAATTTCAATTGGAATGTCCAGCCGATGTTCAGGGTTGATCAAGGGAAGCCTGGATGACATCAAATCTCCTTGTCCTAGAGGACGCTTCTTTTCTGAAGCTAGGACTTTTCCAAATTGGTTTTACACAGCACATGTATGTTTCACATACATTGCAGGGGGAGAGTGCAAACCATTGTTTCAGACAAAACACATGCTTTTGTGAGAGAAGCTTGCACCATGTGTATCATGTGTCACCATAGTTGGGCTTAAGGTGTGGCCTGTCCCAACCACAAGCCACGTGATCCACAGGATGCCTCGAAGGAAAAAGTGAAGTCCAACTTGGACTTTCTAATGGAAGAGCTGATGCCCAGCAAAGAATTCTGGGTCGGTGGCCTTGGCTGGGTTGAAAAGCGAAGCCGGTCGTTGGTTTCACAGCAAGGGTCCCAACAGAGATGTCCCCACTGATTTGGTTTTCACCATGGCTACAGCGAATGGAAATCGGGGAATGGCTTGAATATCTTGACATATCTTGCGAGGCTGAAGCAGCTTTGACGGATCCAGCGCTGTTTAACGTCGCATCCCAAGTGCACTGTATCATGACGACAGAGGACTCTTCAAGGGCTCCAAGGTCACATTTCAATCTGTAGGTGCCTAAAGCGCTGAAAGAGGCAGCCAAGCCACGTGACAAACGAGACAAATTGATGTTGTCATGACAGAGCATCCGTTGATATCTCTGCAGAGCATTTGGGACGCATCATCCAGGCTGATGTGGAGGAAATGCACGAAACGTTGCAATGGTTGGAAGAGTTCCTCTGGAACCAGGCAGTCTCATCAGCTGCCTGAGCAAGAGAAGCAAACTGTATGACCAACTGATGCTGGTGGCTGTTGGTTTATGCTGGTCTCGTTGTCGATTATGATTTTACAAGCAGGATCAGTTTATTCAGTGGCTTTCTAAATATAATATAATATATATATATATATATATATCACGTAAAACAAAGAGACCTATTATCAAAACCTATGGATCTATCACCGGATTATGTTATGTCATGTTGATTAGCAATCCCAACTACATTCCATTACATTCCCAAGAAGGGCCTATTAAGTAACCTTTTACCATCCCTAAGTGACCTTTTGATAAATTGCTAAGTGACCCTTTGATATAATTTTATTTAAGTGACCTTATCCAGGGGATAGACCATTAAAAAAAATCAAAAAGGTCACTGTGAGTGTGCTGGTATATATATCATTTATTATACTTCATTATTCTTCATCATTTTATTCATGATGAATCATTATTCATCCCTTCTAATCCCTATCAATCGCTATTACTTACTGTATCTTACTATGAATCTGCAACCATTGACCCTTTAAAATCACTATAACCCATCCCACCACGCCAGGACTGGGCGGTGGGCTTCGGCCGACACGCCCTGGCGGAGCGGATCCGGCACCGGTGGGGTGCCCAGCGAAATTCAATTAATTTCAATGAGATTTGTATTGCATTTGTATGTGTGTATACTGATGTATACTGTAGTGATAAATCTATCTTTCTATTCGATTCCAATTCAATTCTATTCTTTATTCTCTATATTCGATATATGATTCGATTATTCTTTTCTATTCTATCTTGTTCTATTCTATAGTTCTAAATTCTAAACATGATTAATCATGTTTCTTTTCGGGGCCAAAATTTTTGAGCTGTGAAACATGTGGTGAATTTCCTTCTCCAACTTGTGGTTTTTGAACTACTTTGGGGCACTGGAGAAGGGGATTGAATTTTGTCTGTTATGTTCTGACATCCGACATGTCCAACTGCCCTGGACCCATAAGGCCCTTTCTGCTCTTGCAAGGAGTGAGCCTGACGAGTTTGAACCAACCATAAGAATGCCAGAAGTTTCTATGAAATCCGACCAACAACGTGAATCGAATCCAACTGATGTACAATAAATACATATAATTACAGTTACAGTAAATACACAAATATGTTTAGAATATTTTCTCAAATGACTAGAAATTGAAATCCTGATCAAAAGAGAATGCCAAACTTCTGTGGTGGGGAGTGAAAACTCACCCTTGTGCAATGCAAGATACTGCAAGTTTTGCATGACCTTTGCCATTTCCAAAATGCGTTTTTCTTTGTTCGTAAAATAAATCGCATTCAATTGGAATCGATTCTTCCACTTATTAAGGCATTGTATGCCATAAGTATAAGTCATTAAACAAAGTCAGCCACAATCCAATGGTAACCTGGTAACTGGAACAAATCTCTCCAGGTCGAAGGCTTGGAACAGAGCTTGGTCCTGGAGCTCAGCGCTGGCGCTGGCGTTTCCGGTACGGAAACGATGCAGTCAAATGCGGGATCAACAGAAAACACTGGGAAAAATACATTTGTATACATTTGTATGTATGTAAATATACATACAGTATATACATATGCATATAATAATATATATATATATACACATCTATCATGTTTAATTATTGTATGTATATATATATACATATGTATATACATATATTTATACATGTATATGCTTATACATGGACCTACAAGAATGCATCCTGTACACATTATGTCATGTCACCTGCTGAGGCTTGGCTGGAAGAGCGCGGCCTTGAAGATGAAGTCGTGAGGCCGTCTTGTTCAGTCACAAGTCCAAGAAGCATATGTTTCTCTGAGAATTATTATGTACTGTACGTACTGTACATAAATATATATATATATGTGTATTATTATTATATATATACATGATTTCATATTATATATATATGATTATATACCCATGTACTATACAGAGTTTATGTTTGCACTGATATTATGTCAATATCATTTATTGTAGACCTGCATATGTTTTGTGGATGTAACATCATGGTTTCCGCGGCTGACAGTTCTTTCTACCGACTTCCACACAGATGCATACGGAGATATGGACACAAAGGTGCCAGAAGTCCAGAAGTGCTGTCGGATCTGTCGGTTGAAATCCTCTGCTGTCTGGGAGGTCCTACGTGGCCGGACCTACAGTCAGGATGCTTGGAACTGACCCGTTCAACAATGTTTCCTGCAGTTTGCCAGTCCCACAAGTTCAGGTCCATGATGACGCTCCTTGGGTTTACGGTTTGGGTCAACAAGCTTGTACAGAAAGATACATGTTTGCACTGTTGCAAGGATCCGTGTCCTTTAATACGTAGCAAAGGGTTCTCGCTTATCTTTTGGGGTCTGGGGTTGAAGCCTTGTTCGCTCGACTCTGCCCAGCCACAGTCCGCATACGTTCGCAACCATCCGCAACCGTCCGCCGCCGTTCGCGATCTGCACTTATGGCCATGCCTATCGGGGAAAGTCTCAAAGAGTGTCACACTCCAAACCCTACAATTACATATAATTATATATATATATATAGTTACATACTCCACGCTACACACTCACACTACACACTCCACAACACTCCACACACTCCACACACAAGATACACCACACACACACAAGATACACCACACACACACAACACACTACACATTACAAACTCCTCAGGCTCTACACTTCACGCTCCACACTCCACACGCTATCTTGAGGATTCATAACTTTTGGTGCAGGTGCATTATCATTGCTCTTTTTCATGCTGGACATGTTCAGACAGGAAAGGTGCGTACGTTCACGGCGTGCTATCTTCTTTACATGCCAAACATGGTAGTGCAAGGCAGAAGAACTTACAATACAGTTGCACTATCATGACTTACACGGGTGATGTGCATTCGGGTTCGTGGGTTCTACTATCTCGGATACATGCCGTGCAGGCCGGTGCCCATATCAGCGATAAATCGCAGCTTTGAAACTCTTGATACTTGGAGAAAACGTAATTTGAAGTCATACCAAACGTGATTGTTTGTGTGTGTGTGTGCCTTCACATCTTGCTTAGTTATAAAGATCGTCATTTGACACCGTAGTGGAAGAGAAAGATATCATATCATTTCATATCCAAATGCAAATCCAAAAGAGACCTAATGCAGTGCTCTGCAAAGGCTGCAGCACAGCAACTCGGCTGCGATGAGGCCGTGCCATATCCATCTGAGCCCTACCCATGGATCGAGTTGCTGCAACTGGGTACCAAAGGTCTCTTGGCCCAGCTGCGTCATGCCATGTCATGCCTGAGCAGCAGAAAAATCATGCCACACGGATCATAGATGATAGTCAGTGGCAGGATATGGCTATGTCATGCTGTGTTTGAGATTTGTAGCCCAAAGAATCCATAATTTATATATTACTTGTACATAGTAATTTAATTAATATTAATTTATATATAATTCCCCCTGTTAAAGTATATTAAAGTAGCCATTTGGGATCATTTTGGTGGGGATCATTTTGGTGTATCCCCTCGCACCGAGGTTTGCAGAAAGCCGAAACTTGGCTCATGAAGAATCGCAAGTGGAGCGCAGAGCAGGTGCTGGTTGCTGTATGTTGCTGTAATTGAAAGACAAATGACATGACATGACATGGGGATATATTAAACAGATATGGGAACTACAAGGAACTATACTATATTATATATATATATTGTGTTATATTGTGTTTTCGATATTTTGGAGGATGAACACCAATGAACATCCACATACCAGCTATTTGGATGTTCAGCTGGCTACCAGGCTTTTGACCAATGATGTGATTTGAATGAGTTGACCTCACCACCTGCACACTTCTCTGAAGGCTTCCCGTTCCTTTTGCATGCACTGCCAGCATTGGCTGCAGGTTTCAAACGCTCTGTGTCAAGAACCGTGCCCTGTGCTGAACAAGAGGGCCCTTCAATTCCTTTGCTGACACAAATTGCAATCGGTTTCGAACAGATACTCTGCAAGGTGGCTACGGCTACACCAGCCAGCCCTTCAGGAAGTCCTGACACGGCCTAGTTCAAGTTTATTCAATTTCACAGTTTTGGACGATTTGCCACTGATGTTTTGTTTTTGAGCCTCGCGCTCCACAGGTTTTTAGGATAGAATTAGTTTGTTGCACTTTCTGTTCAAAGTGGTATTGCTATTTTCCCACTCCATGAGGAATTTCGAACCATACCACAGCTTGGTGCCTCCACAACTTTCGCTTGCTTCCCTCAGCCATTTTGTTCCAGCGTCATGGTCGTGCCCAGCGAGCTGTCCGAACGGAGTTCGATAGAGCCGAACAATGGGCGGCACGTGGATTCACGAGACACTAGTGGTTTCCCAGCTGAGATCATGGTCAACCATGGTCAGCCCAAGAATAAATTTACGTTGGCCAGTGAAATTTAGTAAGGTGCTTATTACAACCAGGAATGTAGAACATGTATGCAAACTTGCTTTGGCTTTCGAAGATTTACCACTACATACCAGTACATTACCAGTACTTGTACATACCAGGATATACTATATATAAACTAATTATACTATACTGCTACTTCTGTGTTTTGTTTCTCCATGACGTCAGAGTGAGCTCTTCCCATTACCGCTGATACTGCTGGACATCTGAGCTTTGAGGCTGGCACTTTTTTGGCGACATCGTTGCCTGATGCTGCTTGGAGCCAGATGGCTGTCACCCATCGCTTTGTCCAAGTTGAGTCGAGATGGATATGGGATGATATGGGTTTCTTCGTGGGTTTTAAGCACAGATACCTGACACATGTTGCTGCAATTGTTTGACTTGACCAAACTCTCATGAAGCACAACAAAGACTGCAGGATCATCATCGCGGTTCTTCTCTATTCATTTTGACAATTTTGATCCTGGCTGAGTTTCACATTCACGGATCTGGGTTGTTTATAACTTTGTCCCGGAACCTACGCAACTTCCCAATGGCACTTCAGTCTCAAAGCAAAGCATTTCCTGCTCAATATGCAAACTGGAATCATGTTTGCCAACCGTTGGAAGCGCTCTGCCCATCTTTGCCATTCTCTGTTTGTCAGTTTTATTTTTCCTCAACATTGCCCCTGGTAAACTTGCCGAGGGAGCTCATCCAGCAGTGGTTATAAGCTCACAAATGCTGACAATATAAATTTGGGCAACCCATGGCAACCCCTGATCAATATGAAAAGCATACGAGAATTTGAAGTGGGGGATTTTTTCCAAGTGATGGTGGTACAATGGGTGACAAAAAAGGCCCTAGTCATCGCACTATTCTCCGGAATCGGATTCAGCAGCAGCATCTTTGGCCTGATTGCTGATGACAATGTGGTCCTTTTTCAAGGCTGGAAGTACCCTGGGCTGTGTGGTTGAGAATGTTCAACCGCATTCATACCATGTCCCCAAGAGAATATGTGTCGGCCCTGAAAGAGTCAGAAAGTTTGGAACCCGGAAATGTTTTAGCAGCTTTCATGTGAGACTTGGTTCCCAAAATGTGATGACGATGTGCAGAGATGCAGAACATGGTAAATTTTCCCAGCGATGTCCTATGGGCCGGGTGTCAAAATGTGCCTCCTTTCAAGCCTGGATCTGGAGGTTTGAGCGGCGCGCTCTCGTTCCTGGGCTTGCTCCTGTACTTCCTTTTGGACATTGGAAAGGTGGATCATGGTGGATCGGAAGGATTTGGAGGGACCATTTGGATGTTTCATCCATTTTCATCCCATGGACCTAGGGACCTAGGGACCTCCAATGGACTCCAAATGGTGTAGATCGCTCTGGCTGCATCTGGCTGCAGGCATCTCGGAAAGTGGGGATACCTTTCGCATTTGCCATTTTCTTGTGCCTCCTCGCGCTGAGCATCCTGGCCAAAAGCCTATTTGCCAAACAACATGTCCTCAGTTTATAGTTTTTACATGTTTTTACATTGATTTGGACAAGGGCAGATATTTAGATATAGTTACTCATGAATTGTTGCATGGCTTGTGCCACTTGCATCAGTTGCATCCGAGGCATCTCTGTGTCCTTGGACTATCCTTGGGCTTCTCCTTTCTTGTGTCTGCAAGCCAGCTTTGTGATCTTGGGCTTCATGCGTGACTTGCCAAATGCCAGGCTTGTGCAACTTATTTCTGCTGTCAGGATCTCACCGCGGCAGAGCAGTAGTCACCCTCCAACAAGGTTTGCCTCAACATGTACTCAGTGTACTCCCAGTTCCTCTATCCTCAATTTATCAAAACTCAGAGAGATCAAGTCTTCGAAAATCACGCATCAAATAAGTTGCCCTCACAGTCCTTCAAGTGAACATTTCCAGTCGCAGTCTGTACTCAGCCTATGCTGGGCATTGACTGCTCGTCCAGCAACGTATTCGATATGAGCAGATGAGGCAGCAGCCTCTTTTCCTCCGTGTCCACGAAGGACTTTTTCACTGCCACAGCAATGAGCTTAAGCATTTGCGGAACTATCACACTGGCAATATGGATCGGCTGGAGGATGCATATTAATCTGGATCTGTAGCATGGCAGACAGATGGCAGATTGTGATGTGTGGATCATGCACTGCTATGGAAATCTGTTGGGAGCCACTTTGGCTTCTTCCAGTGCGTCGTGTGCATGTTTAAATTCGCATCCAAAGACAGGGCGTAGAAATCTACAAGAGATCAGAGTGTGCTGCAGATATGTGACCTTGAACCTGTTTCTTCATGCATTTGGAATCATTTGGAACATGTTGGAACCCATTTTCCTGTAGTTTAAGGCGGTCCCCAGCCTACAGTCCTTGCTTACAGGGGAACGGTTTGGGGAGGCCCCGCAAGTATTTCCATGGACGTCGGTGGACCAGTGGACATCCTGGTGACATCCCAAGGTTCAACTGGGAATTTGACATCTATGCCGCATCCGAAAATGATGCACTCATTTCACACCTGGCCAAAGATTTGGACGCTTGGTGCAGCCCAGCACGGATGAGAACAGCTGCGGCAGCTGTACGGATGTACATCAAAGAAAAGCGACTGACTTCAGTTTATACATTGATTTATATAGCTGCTATATAGCTGCTATAACATTGCCTCAATACTCTTCATGTACTTTCATTCGCTTTCAATACTTTCCCCCATGACTCCCAAGGTGTCAGGTGGTATCAGGTGGGGATTGGCATTTCTGCATTTGCTAAGGAGTTCGATTTCAATTACTCCAGCCATTGTATCTTGGCCATGCCAAATGGTGAACAACGGTGGAGGTTTGGGTCTTTTGAACCATGAGTTTTCCTATTGGTGTTGATGTGTTGCCTCTACCAAATCTAATCCTTTCCCCCTACTAAACGTCCCCTAAATACTAAAAACTAGGGTCCATCTCCCAGTTTGGAAAATTTCAGGTTGGCCAATTTGACTTTCAATTGATCCCCTTTAGAAAACAATTTAAACATAAAGCTACCATTTGTGGGTTTTGCCCCCTAATAATAAAAACTAGTTAACCCCGGGGTGTTTATTATTAGGGTCCGTCCGATTTTTTAAGTTTTTTATATTAGGGCTTTTAATTTATTATTAGGGCCCGCTTCGAAAACCAATGTTTGGCAATATTTTAATTGCGTTATATAAGGAAATTTAGCTGATTTTGAAATCGAACAAACTAGTTTTTATTAATAAGGTTTTATATTTATTATTAGGGTCCGCTTCGAAATCCAAGTTTTGGCAATATTTTAATTGCGTTATATAAGGAAATTTAATTGATTTTGAAATCGAACAAACTAGTTTTTATTATTAAGGTTTTAAATTTATTAATAGGGTTCCCTAATAATAAATACCCCCCTAATAATAAAAAAAAACTACCTGAAGTGTTTATTAATAGGGGAGGGGGGGGCGTTTAGTAGGAAGGGATTACTAAGATGGACTGTTGAGTTTGGATATTTCGGCAGTCACCCATGTGTGGAAGCATGATGAAACATCACCATGCCTGCAAAGCTCGTGACCGAGGTTTGACCAATAATACCAACAGCACAGATGTTCGGGAGGCCATTGGTGCCTGCGAAGTCTTGAACCATGTTGTTCAGAAGTGTCTTGGCACAGTGTCCATGGGCCTGAAGGATTTTAAGATATTTTGACGGTAAGTTCAGGCTGGGAATGGACTGTCGGAAGAGTCGGAAAGATGACGGTAACGCCACCCGGGGATGGCTTGCAAAACCTGAGGCAACAATGGTGTCCAGCTGTTGTCACTTGGCCGTAAGTTGCTGTAATTCCGATGGAGTTTCTAAGACCTGGGTTGAGAAAACAAGATGAACAACGGCTACAGGATTGGTTCTGAAATGGAAAAACAAGTGATGAGTGAATGGCCAGTTTTGTTCCATGAGTCCACAAGAATATTGGGTGTTGATTCTTTTCACTTTGCAGTGCCAGAAATCGATAGAAATCGGACAAACGCAAGATCATGTTCCTCACGTGTGGACAGTTCCATGATGTTCCATGAATTTGGATGGTCCACAGACGGTCCACGTTTCTTTTTTCGGTAAGTTGAGACCAGGTTGTTGGATCATGATCCGACACCAGCTGCAGGTGGGTGTGATTGACGTCATGTCAGCCTTGTGCTGCACCTTCATGCTGCAGGCTGGGCCCCATTTGTAATGAATTTGTGAAGACAATTCGCCGCTTTGATCTCTTCTCCATGGTTCAAAATATGACATAACTCTCCATTCTGGTTTTTGTTCTTCATCAATCTTCATAAAAATCATCCATTCAATCATCCATCTTCATCAATATTGATGCTTTTTATGTGATCAATGATCAACAACTTTATATGATCAATGATCAACAAAAAGACAATCTGTGATTGTTCTTTATCAATCTGATAATAATCGTCATGATCATCTATTTTCATCAAACTTGATGCTCTTTATATGATCAATGATCAACAATAAACAATGAAACCGGGTTATCTATGGAGAGTTGCGTTTTTTCCCCGTTGCAATATGTCATAACGTAACATGCTGGTTATAGTTCTTCATGAATCTTCATAATAATCGTCCATTCAATCTTCCAGCTTCATCAATCTTGATGCTCTTTATATGATCAATGATCGACACAATATATAGACAATGAAACCAGGTTTGCTATGGAGAATTGCGGTTTTCTGTTGGAATTTGTCATGACTCTCTATTCTGATCTGTTATTGTTCTTCATCAATGTTCATAAACATCATTCATTCAATCATCAATCTTCATCAATCTTGATGCTCTTTGTATGATAAATGATCAACAAAAAACAATGAAATCGAGTTAACTATGGAGAGTTGTACTCTCCATACTCTCCATTCTGCTTGTTATTGTTGTTTATCAAGTTTCATCACAATCATCCATCTTCAATCATCAATTAGCATCAAAATCGAGGCTCACAGCGGTGTGAAGCGCCGAGTCAGTACAGCTGAGGGTATGTCTCGTGGCAGGGACAGGGCATTTGGCGCTTTTCTAGCTGCGGACCATTTGGGGACCCCAAATTCATTCAAAACTTGCCATTTTTCATTGGGAAACCAATGGTGTTGGATGGTTTTGGGGTACCCCAATTTCATCCAATTTCGAGAAGCACCCTCCTCATGATTTTTTGGCAGCTTCTAGATGCTTCTTGTAACCAATGGCAATCTTCGATGGAATCTTCGAGTTTTGGTGCAGTGCCATTCTTTTAGGCACTCTGCGGCTGGATTTGGGTCCCATTTTTTTTTACCGATGAAGATATTGTAGTAAAGACGCAGGAGCCGAGGATTCGATTGTGAAGCCAACAAGCCAATGGGGCTCTCCTTGGCAGGTCTCGAACGGCATGCAGGTTGTTGCGTAGATAATGTTCACCCAGGATTCATAGACCAGTCTATTAATAAGGGCTATCAATTGATATCAGTTGCAATAATGTCATAATTGTTTGGGTGGTAGCCCCCAATGGGCAGGGTTGACCCGGGGCTGACACTGCTGGCGCTACGGAAGTTCGCATCCCTCTGTCCATTTAAGCGACCTCCAAGGCTTTCAGAGCAGGAAGCGCAGGGAGCAGCGAGGCTTCAGGCCGTTTTGAATCTTGGCTGAACTACATGGAAACTACATTACGCCCTGGCTGAGTCCTGGCTTTCATGCCACAAAACCATACAAAACCCCCTAGCCCCAGCCGCCCCAGCCCTTGATGATCCTGATAGTGAATGCCATTCCAAGATATGACATATGATGAAAATATGTGTTTGGATTGATTTAATGATTTTGACATGCTATTGGAGCCGCTGGAGCCGCTGGAGCCCCAGGAAAAGATCCCTGTTGGTCGTGATGGCCATTGCCGCCATCGCATATGCAGCTGCGTCCACAGCTGGCAGTGCTGGCATTTTTTCCCAGGCCAGGACATTTTGCTGTCGCTACTGTCGCTGCTGTCACTGGTTTGTTATGGCCACACATGGCCACATCATTGTTGTGAAACGAACATGTCGCAGAGAACATGGACTATTCATGGACTGGAAATGGCGGGTACCCTGTCCCATCCAGCTTCCTGATCGTGAGAAGTTCACATGGTTTCCTATGATGAGTGCAATGTGGAAAGATTTGTGTTCTCAGAAATTTAGATCCATGCCCATGGCGTCACCCCGTTGTCTCAGTTGAAGGTGTGAAGTATTGTGGCGTCTTTTCGGTGAATGTGCAATTGATTGAAGATGAAAGGGCGGCCGACCCTGCAATTTGTTCACATTCGACATACCAGAGAAAGATGGGTGGATTGTTTGACATCGGTTTGAGTTCAGGGACTTCATGTTTCTTGGAATTGGTAAGCCTTTAATTTCGTTCTCACCTGTCAACGGTACTCTGCAAGGTGCAGTTAAAAACCTGGCTCCTTCAGATGGCCTTAGTACGACACATCGATTCCTAGCCAACTTTCTTGCCAGTAGAGAAAGTTTGTTCCAAATTGCAATCCAAAGATGCAATATGTTCCAATAGAGCAATCCTGAAACATCCAGAAACATCAATTTCGACATATGTCCACTTTCCTTTGTCAAGATCGGTCAAGTGTTCTCTGGTTCCCAAAGGCCTTCTATGCCTTCGGAGTGGGTGGCATTGTGACCATTTTTGGCGCCTTGGTGCCAGCATCCATGTTCCATGAAACCCATTGAAACCCTACCTGAGTTTGTGTCTCAAATGGGCTCCCAACTATTGGGATATATACAAGGGGAAAGGGATCACATCGCTTTCAAGGATCAAAAAGAAAGTGGAGTTGGCTGCTAGCCCTACCAGGCTTTGGGTTCGAGATTCACTATGTGGTGCCGGGGCCATACCGGGCCATCCCCCAAAATGTTGAGGCTATGTTTATGTCGAGACTGACCAAGCACTTCTGCACAAGTTGCTGACACAAACGCGCTTTGGAAAAATTGTGCCTGGGCAAACTGAGACTTTAGCTCTGGGTGTTGGAGGATGTTCATAGGCAATTTCTGGAAGCAGTTGGTCAACTCTATTGGGTGTTGTAATGCAGCATGATGCAGCCATACACCAGGATTGTCTCATGGGATCGTACCAACCGATTGATCCCACGTTTACAGATGTTTGTTGCACTTGTTTGCTTTTCCTCCAAGACAAATCAGAAGTCATCATAAGCCAAAAGGGCTGCATTGGCGAACAGCCCCCCAGTTCTTGACTCACGTGACTCTAGCAGAGGTCATGCAAGTGCTGCGGAATGAATGGATGCGCGCATTCGTGGTTTGTTCGTGTTTCGGCAGCAGATGGGGTCACCCCAAGGCCCAACGCAAAAGTTGTTCCAAGGTCTGTTTATTGTGATAATTGTATAATATTACATAATATTTGTTAACTTTGTGATAATGAACATTATCATTTAGTTTATTATAACATATCATAACTATTCATACCTATGAATTACTGTTCTTATTATATACTCCGTGTAAAAGTCTATAATCAAACTTTTAAGGCGGCAGATGCCGGTTGCGCTTTCTACGCCTGGGCCTGGTCTTTTGGTGGATCAGGATTGCAGATTTTTGTTGCTCAAAAGATCCACCTTCTAACAATATGTCGTTTCCTCCGCGGAATCAACCAGGTCTCTTCAAACTATATAATATTATATTATTATATTATATATGATATTATATATATATGATGTGCCAGACTACCACAATCCTGAAAGAGCAAACGGGCAAAGCGTCCTGTATGCCGATGACTCTGAAAATGTTGGCCAATCCGTTCACGAAGGTTTTCTTTTGGTATTCCAACGATGCTACTTCTTGATAGACTTCGACAAAATGTTCGTCGACTCCGCTTTCCCAATGTACTTGGGCAGCATCTTTTGACTCTGGGATGGGCGATTTATCATGGCTGAAATCTGGTTTTCATGTGGTAAATCTAAGAATAAGAAACCAAATTGGGGATGCTCTGTGCCATCCAAATTGGGCTTTGCTGCGTCAAATCAAAGAGTCATCAGAGTCATCAGGAGACCGACATCGACAAGTTTACCCCAGCGGGACGTAGAGTGATCAATGAGTTGAGAAGCTTGGCAGTTGATCAATGAGTGTTTTTGTAGCACAACCTCTGATGTTTCAAATGCCATGCCAGATTCTGGATGCGTTTTTCATTGCGTTGATGTCACCTTCGGTGCACAGAAAAGAGGTGTCGCATTACCTGACTTGGCCCATTGAACCCATCAAGGGGAAGACACCAAGGAACTTGGCATTGGTCAATGATCTTAAGGTCTCTTGGCATGGATCATCTGGGCCAGTTTCTCGGAAAACAACTGCATGTGCACGTGTAAATGTCCTTATTGAAAGCACCTCATATGCAATCAGGGAATCATGTCATGTCACTTCAACACATTGCTGATGAGAAAAGTACACCATGTCCCTATCAAAGCGCAATGTTCATAAACTCTGCTTGCGAGGTTGGTCAGTATATTCAGACTGAAACCTGCTTTTGAACTCTTGAGCCATGCCCACAACCGCCGCGTCCAGTCTACTGTCCTGTTTGGCCATACTTTTATCGCATTCAATGTACGCAAAAACCAGTAAATCAATATAAATCATCTTAAAAGTTCCCATAGATTCTGCAGAGCTGCAACATGCTGCAGGAAAGCAGACATTTTCTCAGTGATTACTATCCTTCTCTTCGTGGGCCTTAAAGGGACCTATGTGCCTGGGACTGCCGTGAAGAAATGACAAATGACTCCAGTGGCCTCTCTACTAAGAAGCAAAATGAAGCAACAAAAATAGAGATGTCTTAGATGTCTTAGGTGTCTATTTTACAACTTATTGAAGTTGGACAATCGGGTTCCACCATTTTCCACTTGCCGATCGACCTGACAAGACCCATCCCAAGACCCATCCCATGGCCGATCGCCGATCATGACCGCAATTTTCTCCAGGTTTTCTTCTCGTGGTTAAATTATTTTCTCCTCGCAGCGCAACTGGACTTGGTCGCCATTTCATCTCTGGTCTTTGCGGTGGGAAGCCTGGCTCCAATTTGGCCAGGCGAGCTTGGCCTCAGATGTTGTGCTTAGCGAGTGTCTTCAAGTTTTCAAACATAGAATCGTAAAAGCTGCAAGATGCGCCGGTCAGTGTTCCCAAGTTCAAAGGTACTGATATATGTCATCTGATATGTGCTGATCGCAAGATTTGGGGCATGATCAAAGCTGCTGAAGCTGTCCTCTTGTGCCTTTCCAATCAGGCAGCTCTCACTTTTCTGAGGACTGCTGATGTTCATGCTTCCAATTGTTCCAGGCTCCAATGGCTGCGACATGTTGAAAGACACAAGGTGGCCATGTCTCGACACTAGCAACCTTCAAAAGCGGTTGCACAGATGGTGATTGCGGTTTCACCCCAAGTGCATCGGAGTTGACATGAGTTGACCAGAAGTGACTATTGAGTTCTTTGAAATCTTTTGAAGTATTTGATTGAAGTCTTTTGAAGCATGTTTTTCATTTTTTTTACAGCAGTTGAATGGTGCAACATGGTGCAACAATCTGCAATCGCTTCAGGAACAGCAGTCTATTTGTTCAGTGGAGTGGTCCTTGGATTCTACAGCACTTCCAACGGACTTCATTTTGGAGCTCCTTGGCGCGGCGTTTTTCACAGACATGGACCACGGATGACCACGGTAGTTACCACGGTACACGATGCCTGGCAGATCTGGGTCAGGTGGGCATTGCTGTTGGAGCCGTGTTGGCCTCGGTTCTGAAGCATGTGGCATGCACAGGACACAAGGCTGTGAGCTTGATGGCTGTAAGTCCCAGTGACATATTGTGACAGGGTATAATAACCATGATGTATACTGTAATTAACCATAATTAACCATAATTAATCATAATGTATTACTGTATAATCATGATGTATAATCAGATATCATCAGTATAACGCATCCACAAGAGGTCAACAGCTGAAGCTGCGTGGCTCGTTCCAAAGCCAACCGGGGTGCTTGAAACAAGTGAGGACCATTCGGTAAAGCAAGTCCATCGAGAGGGTATCAGATCCACATGGATCTACCATGATGATCCGTTTTCCGCAACTCTAAGCGTCCTTATTTGAAGACATTGTTGGGACACTTGGCAGTTGGCAGGACAATACTTCATTGGTTACTTAGCTGGCAAGTCTGTCCATGTACAACGCTTCGTGGGCGTGGACAAAGTGCCCACCCGGGCCATGGAAATGATCTTGAGACTTGGTAAGGCACATCAAGGCGCTTTATTCATGGAACAGTGTTTGTGCGGTTTGTGGATGATGTGAATGTACAGGTTTTGATTTCCGCCGCTGGATTTAAGGGTCTGAGCACCCATGAGATCTGCGAGTGGTGGCAACACCTTTTCGTTCTGCAGTTGGATTCCAGGGGAATGGACGATTCATAACCATGAAATCAAATTTAAAATGAACAGGATCCTGCCACAACTCAAATTTAAAAGCTGTTTCCAATATTAAGAAGCCATGGCCTTTCGGAGGTATTGTTGCTTTGATTTCGTCCTGAAATTGGCTAAGGAACAAGAGAGGTTTTGCTCTGGGAAAGGTGTGCATTCTGGTAGCAGGACACTGCTTTTTGAGATCCCAAGACTTGCCAAGTCTGCCAAGTCGTCATTTATTGAAAGATTGTGTCCAGTGATGGAGATAGTTTGAACATGTTTGAATGATATTCGGATATTCGCATTTCAATGCAAATCAATATCATCAGATATCATCAGATATCAACAAGAACATTGGGTCCTTTCTGATCCTTTCTGGCTTTTGGAAAATTTGGAAACTTCATGACCTGTTTCTGTCAGATTTCCTGCGCCCAACAGCACCGTCGAGGACCGGATTTCCCCACCAGCGTTCTCTGCGGGATCCTGAAGCTGAATATTCCGCAGATGCTCCTAGGTACCTCAGCAATCCAAACCGACAAGCTGATGCTGATGTCGTTCAATTCCAGCCTCCATGGACGTGTAATGATGTGTAGTTGTGCTTGGATGCTTGGATTCCCATAGAATTGGTTCATAGCAAGCTTTCGTTGATTTTCGTTGCCTGTTCGATCCCCATGGTTCAAGCCAATCGAAGGCACTACGCCAGTGATTGTGGTGAGTATCATTCCACAGGCACTGCGAAGATCTGCGAAGGATATTGAAGGATCATTAAGGATTCAAGGATCTAGCTTATGTCTTAGCTTATGTCTTAGCTTATGTCTTAGCTTATGTCTTGTTGGTGCAACAGTGGAACTGCAAAGGGAAGTGACAGATGATCTTCCAGGATCTTCCAAAGGCCAACGATCTTCCGGGTTGCAGTTCTCGAGTGCTTGTAGTTTTTCAATGTTTTTCATGAGTGATGATAGGGGCAAATTTGATGTAAAACTACATCAAAAATCATGAAAATGGATGGCAAAGCTTCATTGAATCTGTGGCCAGGTGGCTGTGGGGGCTTTGCTGACTTTGCCTGGCAATGAGGAGTATTCTGCCTTGGCCACCGTGTCTTGACCGTTGGCGGCTTCTTTTGGTTTGGATGATGCTAAGTGGTGGCATGGATCGACATCAGCTATGATTGGCAAGTCAAGAGTTTTTGGGGACCTTTGAACGACTCAGAAATGCATGAAAGGTTTGTTCTCATTGATAGACCGCTTCTAAGATGAAGTGTCCGTTTTTGCATTCTTGTCCTGTCTGAATTCCAGTGTGCACGGCCCGCTTTTCCACAAGGTGTTTGCCTTCGTTATCCAAGTCCTTGCCACTCTCTATGTCTCTTACAGAGCCTCACCTGGACATCGGGTTGGACATTGAAAACCACAGTTTTGCCACATAGCATGGATACGGCAATGCAGTGCCAGCTTCCTGCCCTTGAGACAAGTCTCAGATACCCTCCAAATCTGCAAGGCTCTGTGCATATCATGGCCTCAAAGTATCTTAAAGATTCTTAAAGCCTTAAAGATGAACTGTGGTAATCTGGCTGCAAGTTCAAAGACACTCAGACGTAGCGTGTGTTTTTGAAAGCTATCGATCCACACTCTAAGAAGCCCATGAATCAAAATACTCAAAACTTGCATCAAAGTGACTTAAGTGTCACTGCTTGGATGCCTCAACAGGTGTTTTCTGACATTCATCGGATATCATCAGATCATATCAGATCTACGTCGCCAGGATCATCCTGGATCCAAATGATCCAAGCACCGAGGAATTTTGAAGACTGCCGAGGAGAATTTGCAATCGCTCTCGCAGTATCGGGAGGAGCACGCCCAGGTCGCAGAACTTACTCGCCGCGCCTGGTCGAAAAATGTCGAAAACATGGAGGAGAAAGGTGAGACTCTGCGATTTTGCAGGAATCAAAGTCATTCAATAGTTCAGTAGCAGTCTTCTATTCATTACCAAAACAAGCATTAGGCCCATCAACTAGTAGGAATGGCAGGCGCCTGAGATGCTGTAGTTGCTGTAGTATTGCCGTTTATTTGTCAGAATCAGATGGGAGCATCAAGGTGAAGTATGACTCTCCAATACTCCCCAAGCAGCATCCAGCGGTAAGGAGAAAGATCCTACACTCGCAAATTCCTGGAAGTGAGCAGCTGGGCCAAATTGCCCATTCACATCAAAGGCCTCCTTGTAACGACATCTGGGACCGCCGTGGGAAGTTCATGCTGCGGGAAGTTGTGGACGGGAGTAAAGGCCTGGGTTTTTTTGACTTGAATGACTACTTGATTGAGACTTAACATGGTTAATCTTAACACACTAATGAGATCTAATGAGTGTTGTCTAATATTATATGTTCTCCACTGGAGCGAATCCATGAGTGATGCTGTTTTGGATCATGATCATGCTGTATCCTGTCATCACGAGGGAACTTTCACATAAGGGTTTGACCCACTTGTTGCGAAGCAGAATCGCCAATATGGATCGAAGTCGCTCTTGAATTTCCTGTAAAGCCAATTGGGGGTGGTTCAAAACCTATCAAAAGCATTCAAAAGCTATAATACCATATTGAAGGGGATGAACATTCATTTACCGGCTATTTTAATGTTCTCCAAGGCATCTGGGTTTTGACACAGCACCAATTAGAGGTGTTGGCAACGGGAAATCGACCTGTATCGCAGGATCCTTTGGTCTGCGGCTTTTGTCTTGGTCATTGATTTCATGAGTGCCCAAAAGCTCTGCTTCCGGCGGTTCTCAATGACGGATCGTTACTTTGCAATGCATTTAAGTGGCTGCAGATAGATTCACTGCTGAGCAGCAAGCCATCCAACATCATCCAGCTCCCAGTCGTTTCTCCTTGACGATGGGACACCAAGGCATTGATGACGACTTCGCGTATCTTGCCACTGTGGGCATCGCTGTATAAAGCAGAATCGAACTTTCAGCGTACGAATGTATGTTGAAGTTGGAACTGGTTCATTTGCAGCTGGTTCTGGAAAACGGGAGTATGATGATGATAAATAAATTGACTGGTCTTAGATGCAGGGTTCCCAGCTTTGATTCTCACACGGGCAGATGGACCCCAAACAAGCTGAAAAATGTGAATTGCATTTCGCCGCAGCTTTTTCATGCTTTTTCTGAGTACTTGGATGCAAGAATCCTTGCATGGATCTCACAAAACATCATGATATTTTATATTCTGAGCGAGTTGATCAATCGCGTTGGACTTTCACAAGAGGTCCTCCTTTCCGAGGAGTGGTGGTTTGGGTGGCAATTGGTGGAACATCGTGCTACAGCCCTTGGGAAGCATCGTCCTGGTGTCAACCCTTGCCTCTTGGCAATGTCTAGAATGTCCACAACTAGCCAAGCATGCTATATCCTGTATATATCTAGATGAGGATCCAAGTGGACGCGCTTCAAAACTATACTTAAACAGATTTTTAAAAATGTCAAAATATGTATATAAAAACACGAAACCCTGTAAAACGATAGGGGACTCAGTAACTTGATGACGCACTTGACGTAAACAATAAATTTCGACCGTGGCTCATATGCCGTTTATCTTTGACTTAAGGATTTTGTTTATTTTTGACTTCATACGATTCATCGGATGGATGTCGTCGGACAGCTCTGTGGTTCGCTCGATCCACTGCAGTTCTATACATTTGATGATTTTGCGATGACAAGAAAGAGGCTTCTGTATGTTATGGATTGGCATGGAAGTTGAACAGCGAATCTTAGCACATCTTCACCTGGGATAGCCTGGGATAGCATCCATTTGCATGCATGCTCCGGCAAGAACAAGCGGTGATCGCACAGCCTTCTGTTCAACAAGCGATGTTTGTCATAGTTTGTCCCGGTTTGTCCAAAACTTGAGCACCCGAAAATCCCAGGATATCCTCATAAGATATTCTAATACATCATATATCCTCTATCATCATACATTAACACGTTCAATACAATATATACGGTAACCGTATATATATATATATAGAGATATATAGAAATATATATGATATACATATATATGATATATCTATATAATATATATATTTACATACGTATATACATATAATGTTAGCTCCTGATTAGTAGCTAGGGTCGCTATTGTGGCAATTGTTTCCCAAATTATTCTGAAACTCATGTATTGTTTGGAGGGTTCGCTTTTGTGGCAAAACAAAATTGGGAGAGCACTTTTTTTTGAAAAAAAATGTAATTGCTGAGAGGCATTTTTTTCTCAAAAACGCTGTAGCTCAGTCAAGTTTTTGCTCATCTCTCTATCTGAGCCTGCAAATGCATCTCTTTCTGCGTAGGTTTGTTTGCTGGGCTCACTATTGCAGCAAGCTGTGCCAGAGCAGCCCCTGGAAGCCCAGAAGGGAAGCAAGCCTTTTCCAAAATTGCCAAATTCAAACTCCAAGCCTTTCCCAAAAGAACCAATCCCTTATTAAACCCTTATTAAAGAACAGCTCTTCCACAATTTTCCAAGGCCCTGGACCAGGAGAGGCTCCATTTCGCTTTAGTAGGTTTGTTTGCTGGGTTCACTATTGCAGCAAGCTGTGCCAGAGCAGCCCCTGGAAGCCCAGAAGAGAAGCAAGCCTTTTCCAAAGGCAATTGCCAAATTCAAACCCCAAGCCTTTCCCAAAGGAGCCAATCCCTTATTAAACCCTTATTAAAGAACAGCTTTTCCACAATTTCCCAAGGCCCTGGACCAGGAGAGGTTCCATTTCACTTTAGTAGGTTTGTTTGCTGGGCTCACTATTGCAGCAAGCTGTGCCAGAGCAGCCCCTGGAAGCCCAGAAGAGAAGCAAGCCTTTTCCAAAGGCAATTGCCAAATTCAAACTCCAAGCCTTTCCCAAAGGAGCCAATCCCTTATTAAACCCTTATTAAACCCTTATTAAAGAATAGCTTTTCCACAATTTCCCAAGGCCCTGGACCAGGAGAGGCTCCATTTCACTTTAGTAGGTTTGTTTGCTGGGTTCACTATTGCAGCAAGCTGTGCCAGAGCAGCTCCTGGAAGCCCAGAAGAGAAGCAAGCCTTTTCCAAAGGCAATTGCCAAATTCAAACTCCAAGCCTTTCCCAAAGGAGCCAATCCCTTATTAAACCCTTATTAAAGAACAGCTTGTCCACAATTTCCCAAGGCCCTGGACCAGGAGAGGCTCCATTTCACTTTAGTAGGTTTGTTTGCTGGGTTCACTATTGCAGCAAGCTGTGCCAGAGCAGCTCCTGGAAGCCCAGAAGAGAAGCAAGCCTTTTCCAAAGGCAATTGCCAAATTCAAACTCCAAGCCTTTCCCAAAGGAGCCAATCCCTTATTAAACCCTTATTAAAGAACAGCTTTTCCACAATTTTCCAAGGCCCTGGACCAGGAGAGGCTCCATTTCACTTTAGTAGGTTTGTTTGCTGGGTTCACTATTGCAGCAAGCTGTGCCAGAGCAGCCCCTGGAAGCCCAGAAGAGAAGCAAGCCTTTTCCAAAGGCAATTGCCAAATTCAAACTCCAAGCCTTTCCCAAAGGAGCCAATCCCTTATTAAACCCTTATTAAAGAACAGCTTTTCCACAATTTCCCAAGGCCCTGGACCAGGAGAGGCTCCATTTCAGTTTAGTAGGTTTGTTTGCTGGGTTCACTATTGCAGCAAGCTCTGCCAGAGCAGCTCCTGGAAGCCCAGAAGAGAAGCAAGCCTTTTCCAAAGACAATTGCCAAATTCAAACTCCAAGCTTTTCCCAAAGGAGCCAATCCCTTATTAAACCCTTACTACAAGTACTACAAGTACTACAAGTACTACAAGTACTACAAATACTACAAGTACTACAAGTACTACAAGTACTACATGTACTACAAGTACTACAAGTACTACAAGTACTACAAGTACTACAAGTACTACAAGTACTACAAGTACTACAAGTACTACATGTACTACAAGTACTACAAGTACTACAAGTACTACAAGTACTACAAGTACTACAAGTACTACAAGCACTACTACAAGTACTACAAGTACTACAAGTACTACAAGTACTACAAGTACTACAAGTACTACAAGTACTACAAGTACTACAAGTACTACAAGTACTACAAGTACTACAAGTACTACAAGTACTACAAGTACTACAAGTACTACAAGTACTACTACTACAAGTACTACTACTACAAGTACTACAAGTACTACAAGTACTACAAGTACTACAAGTACTACAAGTACTACTACAAGTACTACAAGTACTACAAGTACTACAAGTACTACAAGTACTACAAGTACTACAAATACCACAACTTCATCGGCAAAAAAAACAATAGTAATTAGATTTCAATTGTAGCCAATTGAAATCCTTACTTAATTGAGGATATGTTTTTCTTTTGGGAAGAAAATTTTTGACTTTCTACTTTAAAGAGAGTCCAGATATAGTTTAGGGGGAGGGGGGGGGGGCCACACACTAATCAGGAACCAACATTATATGATATTTCACAAGTCTCCATAGTCTCCATGACCGTTTTAGGATAATCCCAGGGTATCCCCGAGGTGGCGTGGCTTGGCCATGGTTTTGTGGGTCCCTTGGCTTCAGCGACCGTCTTGGAGCCTCTCGCAGGAAAGCGACCGCTGCTTTTGAGTGATGGTGGTTTCATTTTCCAGATTAGACTCTACTATACTATATACATATATCTGCAATAATACTATATATATCTATATATCATATATTAATATATATATATATATATAGTGCACAATAACTTATAGTAATAATAGTTCATAATGATTTTAAATGATTGATGGATATTGCTCCATGATAATCCCAAAGTGAAGGGACTGATTTGAAACAATCCTCCGACTATGGTTCCAAGCAGTATCCAAGGCATGTGGCTTGACCGCGTCACGAGACGAAATCTGTTGTTGCAGGTCGGCTCTGATCCTTGGTCGGTTTGTTGTTGGAGAGTGGGAAGATGTGGTTTCCTGGGGAATCCTGGGATGGAGCAGGAAATAGGAGGCTTCATGTGTCATGAGGAGATTGAATTCATATGAGATCATTTGTGTAACTCCTTCGTTCCATACCTCCGGATCACCGCATAGCGATCCATACCCGTTTTTTGGGCCATGGCTGCTCCGGCTCAGCCTGGGCAGGCACAAACCCGAACCCTATCGCGAGATCACATAGAAGAAAGAACATCAGAATACCTGCCAGACAGAACTCCAGAGTAGATGCCAGATAGAATGTCAGAATAGATGTCAGAAGTCATGTCAGATAGAATGTCAGAATAGATGCCAGAAAGCATGTCAGATAGAATGTCAAAATAGATGCCAGATAGAGTGTATGCCAGATAGAATGTCAGAAGTCATGTCAGATAGAATGTCAGAATAGATGCCAGAAAGCATGTCAGATAGAATGTCAAAATAGATGACAGATAGAATGTATGCCAGATAGAATGTATGCCAGATAGAATGTCAGAAGTCATGTCAGATAGAATGTCAGAATAGATGCCAGAAAGCATGTCAGATAGAATGTCAAAATAGATGCCAGATAGAATGTATGCCAGGTAGAATGTATGCCAGATAGAATGTCAGAAGCCATTTCAGATAGAATGTCAGAATAGATGCCAGAAAGCATGTCAGATAGAATGTCAAAATAGATGCCAGATAGAATGTATGCCAGATAGAATGTCAGAATAGATGCCAGATAGAATGTCAGATAGAGAATGTCAGAATAGATGCCAGAAAGCATGTCAGATAGAATGTCAAAATAGATGCCAGATAGAATGTATGCCAGATAGAATGTCAGAATAGATGTCAGATAGAATGCCACAGAATATACTCGTATATGTCAGATAGAATGTGAGATAGAATGTCAGAAAGAATATATAATTTGCCACATATACATCCAGAGGATATATGTCAAAAACTATGTCAGAAACTATGTCAGAATAATGTGTCAGGGTGTGGATCCCTCGAAGGAAAGCAATGCTTTTTGCGTGTGAACGGATTCTTTGCCGATGCAAAACAACCTAGACACTTGGTAAGAGTTCTCTCCGCCATAATTATTATTATTAATACGACTATTTGAGGTAAAGGTGCAATTTGATGCAGACAATTTTATGTAGACACACAAAGATTTTGTGTGATGAGTCGACGATTTCGCTGTTTCCAGCCTCAGAATTTCACGCCGTGATTTCACGCTTCGAATGTATACTGATCACGGACCACGGATGATACAGTTACAAGTAGTCAAATTGTCCCTTATCTCATTTCCATTCCTTTGTTGCTGAGTAAAATCATTCGCTCCATTCAATAGATGCACTAGCACGTTTTATACAAAGCAGCATTCCTTACAGGTAGCATGAATGTTTCGAGGTAACCTGTCCCTCTAGGTAAGGCATTGGCGACGGTTTGTGCAGGGAATTCCCCCTTTGCTTTACGGTTCCAATCCTTTTTTGCTACAGTTCCAATGTCTTCAGTTCCTGTCTCACGGTCAACTTCTGGGGTGACGTGTCCAAGAGGTAACTGGACTTGTTTTTTCTGAGTC